ATTTACGTATTCAGTCTCGTCCAGAGATGTTAGACTAAATTAAACGAAATGCTTCAGGATTTTAAACAGACTCAATATTTAAAAATTAGAAATTTTTAACTAGCACCTTAAAAATTAAATCAACCAATATAGGTATCGTAATCATGTATTAACTTCGACTTATGGCATTGAAGCAAACATTTTAAGGTATGATTGAATTCATTTGTAGCATGATATTTAAAGACATCTACGGAATTCTAATTTTCAAAAAACACAAAATTTTTGCAAATTTTTAAATAAATCAAAATAACGATTACAGCTATCGCCCTCATCTTCGAACTCGGTAAAAAGGACATCCAAATAATTTTTTTACGCTATCATTCAATCAATTCAGAATATTTTTTGTGGCGGTTAGGTGTATGTCTTAGAATAATAACTCGTGGTTTAGCAGAATAAAGGTATTTAGCACGTTAGATGTGTTTACATCGAGTTTGAGAATCGGACTGAGATGTTTTGTCGGGACCGGGCGGATTTAAATACCTTTTGTTATGGAAGGTTCGAGAATTGTCCAGAAATTTCGTGAGGGACAAGGATAGAATGATGTTTGTCTCGAATATGGCGATATAGAATATTCGAGACGCATTATACGAATGTCGAATTAATAATTTGTTTGTGGCTCGCGCCACATTTTTAGTTATCGTGGGACAACCGATTTTGGAAAAAATCGAAAATGAAAAAAAAATCGAATTAAATTTTAATTGCTGGCGATTGATAGGGCTCAACAATACCAATAATTGAAAAAAAGATTCAATTCCATCCATTCATTAATGAACAATAGAAGAAAAACATTGATACATACGTTCACACATACATACACACGTACGGACGAGGTCTAAAAATTGTATTTTTGGATCACAGTCGGTGGATATAAGCCAAAAAATCCAAAACTTAAATTTGAACGATTACAAAGCTTCCATTCGGAAGCACATACCTACACTGTTAGAAAGTTACTCTTGAAATTTCAAGTAAAAAATCTTGAAATTTTTCCCAACGAAGAATGTACATGGAATTTCCATTGATCTTGTAATTGATAAATCAGTCAATTTTATTGAATATTCAATGAAATTGGATTTCTCAGGTTCATACGACAATGAAAATTACTGAAAATCGTGAAAATTCAGGCGACATTTCTTCTGAATTTTCTGTCCTTTCAAAATTCAATTGAATGTAATGTTTAATTTTCGCGATAGGTGTGAAAATCCAAATTGTCATTGAAAATTCAATGATCATTTATCACGAAAAAGTTGATTTTATTGAATTTCCAAGATTAATCATGAATTCCATGAGCAATTTAGTCTAAAATTCAATTCAAGTTCCGAATATTGAAAATTCAAATGCATCTCTTACTCAAATTTCAAAAAATTTCTAACAGTGTATAAAACTTTCACAGTCCCTTATTGATACCGCCTGAAAATAACCTGTCCGTAAATACAACGATCGAATCATAAATATCTCAAACCAGATTATCTATTTTCTTCAATCAACAATAGAATCAATCGCGTTACTTAACAACTGATCCGCGTAATTCCGAGACTATCCATAACGCATGCAGCATTAAGCGATGAGAACCTTCTACATTCGAAAATCGTACTAGATCCTACTAGACAGCACATTGTTGAGTTAGCAAGCTCAAGCAAATTGTCAACCATTACACAATTTTCATTGGAAAACAAAAAGGATATATGACGCATTTCCCTGGGACCATGAAAACCTCATTGAGGTATTGCTCCACCTGGCGATTGGATAATGGCTGGTGTATGAGAAGCTCCGAGGTCTCATTCATCATGATTGGAATCCTCGGGTCGTCGAAATTGAGGTTTTCCCCCGGGGCAATTGGGTTTGGGAACACTGGTAAATGTCGTTTTAACCCTGGATTGGCCACCCTACGAGGGAAACCCCGCCGCGCGTCGTTTTCCTTTAATTACAATTGACTGGCTAACCGGAAAAATTAAAACAAATTTGACTTTATCAATTGAACCGTCTAAAAAATGATGGTAGTTTTTAATACAACCTATTTTCCAAAATTCGTAAAGAAAACAAATTATTTCGGACAGATGAATTATCTTTTCCCATGTTAAACTTTAAGTGGTCGCATCATGAGGGAATCCCCGCCGTTTTTTTATTTTTTATTTTCACACAAAAACTTGGTGAATGGAAAATCCATAAAAATTTGGATTCGTACTTTCAAATATATGGAATACATCAATATCTTGTTTCGGCCCAGACTTATATCAATTCATTATTCAAATCTTCTGAAAACTCGACTCGCTGAAAATTCCCATGTTTAACCTCAAAATTTCATAATTTTGCACTGTTTCAAATCGAGTTCTTGGAGTATCTGATAACTATATTGCTTCCATACCTCCATTCATTGAATGTTCAAAATTACCTGTGAACGTGGAATAAATTTTTTTTTGTTCAACTTCTTTTTTCTCGAAATTGTTATGCCCCAGATTTGGTCAATTGCGGTATTGTTTAATATGTGGACATACAGCACTGTCAGCGTGACACTTGCCAGCGTAACTGGATTATGCTGCCCAAGTGATGGAATGTAAACAATCAATGTATTATTTACGAAACGGTTGAGCCTGCACAGATTAGACCTGAATTGGACTCCGACGCGTACAAAAGTCGTAAACTCGTTGTAATCAGTCAGATTTCACAGTAATTATCATCATGTAATAAATTCTCATATTTAAATGCCGATAAACCATTGGTGGGATTTATCTCTTTGAGCTTAGAACCTACTATAATTATAAGTACCTTCCACACTGGGTACAACAAAATCGTAAAATACACGGGGCGGAAATTCTCTTACCGTGCGACCAACTACGTTCTGTGGAGAGCTGTGGCCACTTAAGGGTTAAATGAAATTGCGCACGATGCGACGTTGCCGGAAACCCACTAAACGCGTCCGGCCAGTGTATAGTTAATTCGGCAACGCTAAAGCCCAAAGAACACGCCGGGGAATCCCTGCGGAGGTGATCAAAGTCGCAGGAACGCGTTTGGTGACACGACTAGGGTTAATGCCGTCAATATTTCCGGAAGCAGAATTGGGAATTAATTCAGGGTAATTAAAGAGCTTGATTAAGCTCATTATATGGCTTCGCAATAAACAACAAGAGAATCAACTCCTTTGTCCGTCTGAATCGCCGAATGAACTAGGTTCTTATGCGACTTGATGTAGTTAATTCCGGCGCAATAACTGTTGAAACCTCATGGATAATGAAGTTCTTTGCGTCTACCAAGTTGTTTCATGGTTTCCCGCTGGGAGACGTCAAGTCGGCTGCACCAAATTGGCAAAAAGATTAATGAAATGAGAAGCGATCAGCTTCCTCGCGTCTCCATCACACCTCAACGAAGGTCTCAATAGATCTGAAAATTAGCGGGGCTTTCTAGCAAGCCCATTCCCCATTCGATGCACCCCAAGCTTCCGCGAAAGCTCGCGAGCCATCTATGACCTGCATTACCACCATGCGAACCTCCAGTGCTCACGAGAATTCCACAGACAACCAATTCTTGTATGTTTGTGATGTGGCGTTCTGATATTCTCGTATTTAATGAGCTTGATCAAGCTCATGACAGCTTCATAATGAACAACAAGAGAATCAACTCTTTTGTCCGCCGGAATCGCCAAATGAACTAGGTTCTCATGCGATGCAATCACCAATGGTGTATGTTTCAGGTTGAACCCTATCGATTTCCACGGATATACCGCGCAGAGTAGAATCAAAATTGGATACTGAGTATTGGATTAAAGTTTGTTGAATCATAAAGCACGAGATTAACAGATGCAACTACTCTCAGGTTAGCTGAAGGTGAATGGCTGTTGTACGTTCATTACTCGGGTGAAAGGCGGATGATGACTTGATCTAGTTAATTCCGGTGCAATAACTGTTGAAACCTCATGGATAATGAAGTTCTGCGCGTCTACCAGGTTGTTTCATGGTTGCCTGCTAGACGCCATCAAGTCAGTTGCACCAAATTGACAAAAAGATTAATCAAATGAGAAGCGATCAGCTTCCTTGCGTCTCCATCACACCTCAATGAAGGTCTCAATAGATCTGAAAATGAGCAGGGCCTTCCAGTAAGCTCCTTCCTCATGCGATGCACCCCCAGTTTCCGCGAAAGCTCGTGAGCTCCCTATGACCTGCATTACCACCACGCGAACGTGCCGTGCCCACGGGAATTCCACAGAATACCAATTCTTCCACGTCTGTGACGTCGCGTTCTAATATTCCCCCGGGAATGTTCGATAACATCTTCTGTCCAATCATTGACGCCAACTCTGGGTCGATCTACATACATCGCGATATACATATGACCACCCCATGCATCACCCTTACGTAACCCCATTTGACCCTCGACACAACCTTCTTCCCGATCAATCCCAATTTCGACTAGCTCCTCATCAAGTCCCCATTATTCAAGGACGATGTCCTTTGACCAACAATCTTCCCCATTCCACACCTCCTCATCACCCCATCGCCAACATCAGAGTAGAGGGGATGGAAGGACAAGGCTACATCCCCGCGCTTCCTTTTTTCCCCCTAGAAGACCACCATATTGATTGTCTCAAGTCGTCTCAACGCCCGTAAGTCGGAATTGGCCGGCGCCGCCCGTCCGCATAGGTCGATCGTTTGCGCCGTGTGACGTCACCCTACGCCGCCACATCGTCTGTTCTATTGATTTTTTACTGCTGTGGGGGGGCTCAACTCCATCGCCGTTTCTCGGCAAATTGTGTAGTGCTGTGGAGTAACTCGGCAAGTACAATCGGATTGGTGGATGGTGTCGACGAGTTCACTCCACACTGAGGTCACATGATCTTCACGCAGGTGCACTGACGTGTCGGCCATTTTGTTTAAGCTAAAAGCTACGTAGATTGACCGGTTTGGTGGCGCTAGTGTCGTGACAAGTTCGAAGAATACGGACAACCCCATTTAGTGTGCCAGCGACCATGATCGTTGGACCATCTTGTGAAGGCACTTGAATTGTCATTTTATCGGTATTCGGTGGTATTATTGGACTCTCAGGTGTCATGGTGGTGATGATAGATTACCGTGTATCACTGTGCGGTGGTGATGGTACCTCGGTACTGCTTTAGTTTCAGGGATTACCGTGATAGCTCGTGTGTAATTATTGACAGCTAGTGGGCGAGAAGGGGACAGAGGGGATAGAGGAAGAAAGCTCCTCATTCACAGGGGTAAGCTTCGAAAATTGTGTCATCTTGATTGTGTTTCGATGGTCTCATTTTTCATCCTGAGCTTTCGGTGAGCTTGCGGGGTAGGCTGTGAATCGATACGCAAGGGTGTTGTTTTTTCTTGCCATTTGAAGTGTAGCGAGGTCGTGTCCGTTCAAGGCTTCGAAGATGGAGGATTTCTTTTCAGGCTTGAATACCGATTCTTATTGTTGTCGAGCTATTATTACATTGCGGACAATTATTTGTTTAGGGACAATGGTGTCGGGGGTGTGCTTTGTTGTCGTGGGGAGTCCTGGGAACAAAAGCGCGAGTCAGACTGACTATTCATGGAAACATTGAATCCTTGGACGGTTTCATTCGCGATCTGGAAAATTCATCTTGCAGTCATTGTGGGTGTGCGTGGGAGAGAATTTATGGACAATGGTGGGAACCTATTTGCCAGTGGATAATTCAATTTAGGGGATTTTTGGGGATTTAAGGGTCAAACAATCATATGAGCTCATGAGTTGAAAAGATTGGACACCCCTAGATTCGCGGAAATCGAGTTCGCGAAAATATTTCTTATTGAATCTTTGGAGTGTTTCATTCGCGATCTGCAAATCGCTTACATTGGCTTGAATGTGGGTGTGGGGAGAGAATTTATGAACAATGATGGAAAAATCCTTCGGATAGATGGAATGTTTCGGCCGTCACCACATCGTATGTACCTCTGTATGAAGCTAGCGGAATATTCGCCAGTGGAAAAATCAATTTAGGGGATTATTAAGGGTTTAGGGGTCAAATAATCATGTGAGCTCATGAGCTGAAAAGATTGGACGCCCCTAAATTATCCGAAATTGCGTTCGCGAAAATTTTTATTGATGAATCTTTGGAGTGTTTTATTCGCGATTTGCAAATCGCTTACTTTGGGTTCAATGTGGGTGTGGGGAGAGAATTTGTGAACAATGATGGAAAATCCTTCGGACAGATGGAATGTTTCGGCCATCAGCCGTATCGTATGCACCTCTGTATGAAGCTAGCGGAATATTCGCCAGTGGAAAAATCAATCTAGGGGATTATTAAGGGTTTAGGGGTCAAATGATCATGTGAGCTCATGAGCTGAAAGGATTGGACGCCCTAAATTATCCGAAATTGCGTTCGCGAAAATTTTTATTGATGAATCTTTGGAGTGTTTTATTTGCGATCTGCAAATCGCTTACATTGGCTTGAATGTGGGTGGGGGGAGAGAATTTATGAACAATGATGGAAAAATCCTTCGGACAGATGGAATGTTTCGGCCATCACCCGTATCGTATGCACCTCTGTATGAACCTAGCGGAATATTCGCCTGTGGAAAAATCAATCTAGGGGATTATTAGGGTTTTTGGTGTCAAATAATCATGTGAGCTTAGGAGTTGAAAAGATTGGACGCCCCTAAATTTCCCAAAATTGCGTTCGCGAAAATTTTTATTGATGAATCTTTGGAGTGTTTCATTCGCGATCTGCAAATCGCTTACCTTGGGTTCAATGTGGGTGTGGGGAGAGAATTTGTGAACAATGATGGGAAAATCCTTCGGACAGATGGAATGTTTCAGCCATCACCCGTATCGTATGCACCTCTGTATGAAGCTAGCGGAATATTCGCCAGTGGAAAAATCAATCTAGGGGATTATTAAGGGTTTAGGGGTCAAATAATCATGTGAGCTTAGGAGTTGAAAAGATGAAAAGAAGAGAATTTGTGAACAATGATGGGAAAATCCTTCGGACAGGTGGAATGTTTCGGCCGTTACCTGTATCGAATGCACCTTTACATGAATCTAGCGGAATATTCGCCAGTGGAAAATTCAAGTTAGAGGATTTTTGGGAATTTAAGGATCAAATAATCATCTGAGCTCATGAGTTAGGATGGGACACCCCTAAATTCGCCTAAATCGAAGGTTCATCACCTCTATATCTACTTTCTCAGAAGGGAATTGGCGACAATTTTTTTTCAATTTTCGCATCATGATTTTATAAACATTCTGTTCCCATTCAATGTTGTCGAGGTAAAGATCCTCATTATCATCGTGTTACTCTCCTTAATGGATATTCATAAAGTCTTACTATTTGAAAATAGTACACGTGGGAGGTGAATGAGCATCGAACGTATGAAGGGTAGCAAGTGGAGCGAGTCAATAATGGAGAGACTTGGCTGCGTCACTACTCTCGATACGCGAATAACAATCTTTCGTGACTCACCCCCATATTAAATTTCCGTGTTTCCCGGTTTCTCCGGGGGTTGAGACTCGGGAGATTCAGTGCTCACCCCTCCTAGTTGAGATAGGACGGATGAATCACGGTACAAATATCTCATAACTCACCTTCGGACTTCCGATGGTCATGACAAGTGTTTCAATTTAATTTAGTATGTTAAATTGAGACATTAAGACATGCTTTCTAGACATTCTAGGTGTCTTACTCAAGGATCTTTTGTCTGATGTCTCAATTGGGTTCAAGATTTTTACGTCTTTTTGATCCTGCAATGATACAATGCGTGAATTCATTGGACACCTTCAACCCTCATCCGTAAACTAATTAATAGCATTCATGCCATTGAAATCCATTCAGTCGATGCGCGTTAATCGCGAACGGAAAAATTTCAACATTCTATGTAAAATATTGTTAATCTTAATTAAACTGTTGCCATTTTTCAGAGAACCGGAATTTGATACACCAAGGCGACTTGACAAGCCACCGCGATGTCTTCGGTGAAGGTTGCGGTGAGGGTTCGTCCCTTCAACAACCGCGAAATATGTCGCGAAGCGCAATGTATCATCGAGATGGCAGGCAATACAACATGTAAGTATCTTGGAACTTTCCGACATTGGAAGATGTCAAGGACTCTCGCGTCTTCTCGAAATCCGCAATAAATAGTTTCTTGCCGAATTCACCCGCGAGAGTTTCAACTTTTTCAATTCATCATTCCCTGAAGGAGGCCTGGTTCCCTTCAATTAGCCATCCGCCTATAATTCCCACTTGACTCCATCGACTGTAAAGATCTACTTTCAGAGCTTCTCCACCCCCTCGAGATTCAAACGATTCCCCTCACCATTGAACAGAAACCCGAATAATATTTCCATTTCAGCCATCATCAACCCGAAAGCTCCACCAGGCACAAAAGAAGCCATAAAAAGCTTCAACTACGACTACTCCTACCACTCTATGGACGCTGATGATCCCAACTACTCCTCCCAAATAATGGTCTACAAAGACATCGGCGAGGAGATGCTTCAGCATGCCTTCGAAGGCTACAACGTCTGCATCTTCGCGTACGGCCAGACAGGAGCTGGAAAATCCTACACAATGATGGGAAAACAGGAGGAGGGACAAGAGGGTATAATCCCCCAGATATGCAAAGACCTTTTCCGCAGAATCAGCAGCAATACAAGTGACACCGTGAAGCACTCGGTTGAAGTGTCCTACATGGAAATTTATTGCGAACGTGTTCGCGATCTTCTGAATCCAAAGAACAAGGGAAACCTGAGGGTCCGCGAGCACCCACTCCTCGGGCCCTACGTCGAGGACCTATCGAAGCTCGCTGTGATGTCTTACGAAGATATTCACGATCTGATTGACGAGGGTAACAAAGCACGAACAGTGGCAGCGACCAACATGAACGAGACATCGTCTAGATCACACGCTGTCTTCACGATATTCTTCACCCAACAGAAGCACGACTCAACCACAGGATTGGTTACTGAGAAAGTCAGCAAGATATCGCTTGTTGATTTGGCCGGGTCTGAGCGTGCTGACTCAACTGGTGCCAAAGGAACAAGACTCAAAGAAGGCGCGAACATCAACAAGAGTCTTACGACACTCGGCAAAGTCATCAGTGCGCTTGCGGAGATCGTAAGTATCCTCACAACTATTTTTCCTTAATCTTCATAATCCCCTGTTCGATACTAATACGCTTTCCTGTGCAATGCTCCCCTCGGATCAATAGGCGGTAAGTACCACCAGCTCTCACAGATTATGTGCATATTAACGAGCCCTCGAGAGCTCATGATCATTAGTTCACGAGTTTACACAACGTGTTTGAAGCTTTCACTGAATAACCGTAAACATTCCAGGCGACAAAGAAGAAGAAGAAGGCAGAGTTCATACCGTACAGAGACTCGGTGCTGACATGGCTGCTCCGAGAGAATTTGGGGGGCAACTCAAAGACCGCGATGATTGCTGCTGTCAGTCCTGCGGACATAAACTATGATGAAACACTGTCGACACTTAGGTAGGTGTCGAAAATTCCTCTTGATTAGGAATTTGCGGATCGCGATCGAAGACCGCGAAGACCTTCCATTCACGACGATGTGTTATTGATCGTAGATACGCAGATCGCGCTAAGCAGATCGTCTGCAAGGCTGTCGTCAACGAGGACGCCAACGCCAAGCTCATACGCGAACTCAAAGAGGAGATACAGAAGCTTCGCGAGCTTTTGAAACAGGAGGGCATAGACGTGCAAGAAGGTCAGTGCTTTCATTTGAAACAACTAATAACATGTACATAAAACTATCTACATGATTACATACGAATGTCTCTTGTGTGAAAGTGAAATTAAGAATCGTTTGGTAAAATCGCGCTGGTGGCTAATTCCACTCACCTAGATAATCTTTTTTTTTCTATCCCCATCGTGCTCCACCGTAGGGCCAGATGGTAGAGTCTCTTATGAAAAGAAAGAATCTAGTAAGTAATGAAGATGAAAGAAAGTAAATAAAGATCAAAGTGAAGAAAACGTAAAAGCAAAAAAATACAGAAACACGAAAAATCCTGAAGTCATTTCCTCTGCATTTGCTCATTCATTCTGCTTACATGAGCTTTATCATGGAATATTAATGCGTTTCATTGACAGAACGTATGGCAGGGAGAGAATACAGTGTAATCTTGCGCTGGCTTTCTTCATTTCCTGCATTCTATCCTCCCTTTGTTAAAAATCCTTAGATCACGAGTGCTTTTCGAGCTTTTGACTCTCCTCCCCTCCGCAAATGCACGGCTGCGGCATTAACTTGAAGCACAATTACTACGATTGAATGTGCGAACGCAATTGTCGATGAGCTTTCAGTGTCATCACAAAAAACCCTCGGCGTTCGACTGAGCCGGCCACAAATTTCCAGGAGCTTTTAAGCTTCTCGAGTTAAATTGCCCGGAAATTTTCACTTTTTGAGATAACAGAGGCTGTATCGGACGCCGATCCTTAGTACAGCATTCCTTTCATTTATCCTCATTCAAAAATTTAAAACAAAAGCTCGTGTTTATTCGTGTAAAAGCCCTTCACACGGTGCTTTGTGATTCAGGGGAGGATGCAGTGATAAAGAATGTAAAGAGAGAGGAGGACATCAAGGAGGCGCGCCAGCGCTTACCGTCACATCCAACTGCCGAAGAAGCTGTCGAACAGTTGCAAGCTTCAGAAAAACTCATTGCAGGTAATCATGAGCGGAATAGGACTTTTTGGCCCCAGATTTTTTAGCCCTTATAGATTTTTGGCGCCTTATGTCATCAATAGCAAAACGTGAATATCTTTCGAAAAAAAAACATTTTCATGTTTTACGACCGCGGTTTTTCAGGGCTTCCACGATTGTGCAGAGCCCTAATGTATCCTTCTGTCACACTGACTAGAGGGGCACATTAGGCCACTACACTGTGATTACCTTCCGAAATTTCTGGGCGAGGTTGTTCCTAAGCGGCCATCCATCCAAGTACTAATCGCGCTAAACGCTGCACTCGGATGTCCGCCGGAGCAACACCTAACTCACCCAACCATTACGGTCGGCAATTTCGTACTTTTTTCGGTGATGAACCTGAGAATCCACTGAACGTTTCAGATTTCTTCTCTTCCATTCCTATAAAAATTGCCGGAAAACGATTCCATATTGCGGTTTACGTGAATGGTTCCGTAATTTTTACTGAATATTTCTCTCCGTGCATTCAACATTTCACACTGAGAGAAAAATCTGAAGTTCGATTTACAATAAGAAAATAGTTGAGGCATTTTGGTGAACGATACGATTTTTTTTTATATGCGGCACATAACATTATAGTCACAAGCGTAATTTTTGCAAATCAAAATGCAGTTAAACTAACCAAAGTTCAAAAGTAACCACGACAAATCTATCGTGAGGAGGACTATAAAATAGTTGTAATGACTACATTGTAGTAATTAGTTCTCCGACCATAGTTACCGTAACCCATGAAAAATTATTGAGGACTTTTTGACTATAATTTGATGGTGACGGAATATAGTCAGAAGAATTATATTTGTCTCTCAGTGCAATAGAATCGGCCAAAAACTAATAGAATGTTCACTAGAAATCCAATAGAATTGTTTTTCGACTAAATTTTATTGTCCCTGCTCCCTCGTTTTTTCACTCCACATGACTTTTGGATGCACAATGACTCAATATCCACGGTTTTTAATGATTCTCGTAGAGTTGAATGAGACATGGGAGGAGAAGCTCAAGCGCACCGAGTCTATTCGCCTCCAGCGAGAGGCGGTATTCGCGGAAATGGGAGTCGCGGTTAAGGAGGATGGTGTGACAGTCGGTGTATTCTCACCCAAGAAGACACCTCATCTTGTTAATCTCAATGAGGATCCACTCATGTCGGAATGTCTGATTTATTACATCAAGGATGGCTTCACGAGAATTGGATCGGCCGAGGCAAATATTCCTCAAGACATTCAATTATGCGGACCCTATATTCTCAGTGAACACTGTGTCTTTGAGAATCACGAGGGGGTAATCACACTGATGCCGAAAGCTGGTGCTCTGATATACGTCAATGGCCGGGAGATCAGTGAACCCATTGTATTGAAGACTGGGTCCAGGGTGATTCTCGGTAAGAATCATGTGTTTAGATTTAATCATCCCGATCAGGTGAGGGAGCGTCGTGAGAAGAATTCACCAGCGGAAACTCCGGGGAATGGTGAAGCGCAAAATGGAGAGACACCTGGCAATGGTGAGACTGTGGACTGGAATTTCGCACAGATTGAATTGCTGGAGAAACAGGGAATCGATTTGAAGGCGGAGATGGAGAAGCGATTGCTGACACTGGAGGAGCAGTATCGAAAGGAGAAGGAAACTGCTGATCAGCGGTTCGAAGAGCAGAGAAAGGTAATTGCTTCTACAGGGATGATCGTTCATGTCTCGATAGGGAACTTGCAGGTTTCTTTGCTTACGAATGGAAGCATTGGGATCGTCCAATTTTCACGTTCTCTAATTTTTAGTGGAAATTATGCAGACTGCACTGGTAGATTTTTTTTTGAAAATTAAGTAATAGCTGCATTTGAAGTCTCAATGTTGTGAATTTGAATTCAATTTGAGATCAAATTGTACATGAAATCTCTTATTCAGTTTGGAAATTCAGGATAATTGAGTTTTCCATGCTGGATTATCATTGATATTTCAATGACATGTCGAATTCTCACACTCATTGTGGAAATTGAACATTACATGAAACTGAATTTGCAGTGGAGTGAGAATTCAAGAAAATATTTAATAATTTTCAGTGTCATAAGGACCTGACAATTTCAATTTCATTGAATACTAGAGATTTCAATTGATTTTTTAATATCAAAATGTATGAAAATTCCGTGATATTTCAATGACATGTAGAATTCTCAAACTTATTGCGGAAATTGAACATCACATGAAACTGAATTTCCAGTGGAGTGAGAATTCAGAAAAATATATAATAATTTTCAGTGTCATGGGGACCTGAAAATTTCAATTTAATTGAATACTACCGATTTCAACTGATTTTTCAGTATCAAAATGTATGAAAATTCCGTGATATTTTAATGACATGTAGAATTCTTGCACTCATTGCGGAAATTGAACATCACATGAAACTGAATTTTCAGTGGACTGAAAATTCAGGAAAATATTTAATAATTTTCAGTTTCATGGGGACCTGAAAATTTCAATTTCATTGAATACTCCAGATTTTAACTGATTTTTCAATATCAAAGTGTGTGAAAATTCAGGATCAATGAGTGATTTTTAAAAATTTCGAGCTTTTGTACTTGAAATGTCAGGAGTAATTTTCTACCCGTGTGGTCTGAAACGTAAAAATACGAAGTTTGGCGACCACGCCTGTATGTGAGCATGTTCACCTCCACTTGCCGGTGGTCAATTTTTAGAAAATTGAGTAATTAAGTGGCTATAGTAATTCCAGAAAATCTGAAATTCTGTCAGATTATAGGTCTTAATGAGGACTAACTCTGTGTAAAACTTCAGCCCCATCAATCTTATAGTTTTTAAGAGAATGCGATTCGTTTTTAAATCATTTTCCGCAAATATCTTTAAAACTAGTGGACCGATTTCGATTGTTTTCCTCTTAAAAAAAATTGATGCCACCTTTTGTGTCAGCAATCTATTTTACCAGGAATATCCTTAAGCTTAGAACCAAAGATAATCTTTGCATAGGATTCTAGATTATACAAATTTCTTTTTCATTTCCTTTGGAAATAAAAATTGAAAAGAAAAAAATATATATATATAATTTATATATTTATAATATATATATCTAATATCTCAATTATTGATTGATAAAAAATTAATGATCACGTCTTCGAAACAAATATTCTCTTCGAGCAAAGTAAATTTTAAATAAACGTATCCCTGGCGGATCTGTCGATTGTAGAATCGAGTTGATCAGCATATCGATTCGTATGCGAGTGTAGTTCGATTTAGATCTCAGATTATTGATGGAATCGAAGAGAATCGCCTTCATAGGAAGTCGATAGCTAGTGAATTTTGAATGCCAAAAATTTATTGCACCAAAACTTGAACGACTCATGGGGTGATCGATTATGAAAGACTCCTTACGGTCGGACCAGGATCGACTTGAAGAAAGTCGATTGTGACTCGATTGCCCGCATATTATTCACACCAATCGACCCACAACCGACCAGTTGTTGAGTCGTTTCATATAAGTGAATAATATGAAGTCAATCGAATAATAATCGACTCAAGGATCAGTCGATTCGCCCACTGGAATTATGAAAACTATTATGAAACGACTAAACTAGTGGATTGTGGGTCGATTGACTTGAATAATGAGGACAATCGAGTCACAATCGACTTTCTTCAAGTTGATCCTGGTCCGACCGTAAGGAATCTTTCATAATCGACCACCCCATGAGTCGTTCAAGTTTTGGTGCAATAAATTTTTGTCATGGGAAATTCACTAGCTATCGACTTCCTATGAAGTCGATTCATCTTCGATTCCATCAATAATCTGAGATCTGAATCGAACTACACTCGCATGCGAATCGATATACTAATCAACTCGATTCTACAATCGACAGTCGATCGAATATCAATCGGGGGATCCGCCAGGGTAACTATGAATACCTTCAAAAAAATCAAAACCTGATAACCAATAATCATCAACACTTATAATGAATGGACTTTGTTCTAGATACCTTACGGAGGAATTTGACTATCTCATGAGATGAAGCAATTATTTATTATCCGAAATACTATGATTCTAGCTGCAATAGATCGTGACTAAAATATAAGATTGAAATATATGCTCATTAAACTTTACTTCAATTTCCTTATTTACTATTCATTTTATTATTATTCATACATGAATTCAATGAAACACTAACTGGAGCATGCGCGCGCGAAGCGTGCGATCCTTTTCTAGTGTTTTCAAAATATTCGTTTCGAAGCCTTCTATCTAAATCAATCGAAACACCCTAGCTTTTCATCTTGTTCGTTCATCAATAATTCCTACTTGAACCACCTAAATTGACCCGCGTATTTGGTGCAAATTACAGAATTACGAGGCACGAATAGATGCCCTCCAGAAACAGGTTGAGGAGCAGAGTATGACAATGTCAATGTACAGCAGTTACACTCCAGAAGATTTCAACAACATCGAGGAGGACATATTCGGTAAGTATCTTGCATTCCGTCATCACTTGAGAGAGAAAAATTGGTACAATTTTCACGAAATCAGCTTTGCTTCAATGATGCTATATGAATAATCCATGATTAGCCGCGAACTAAAGAAATACTGCTTTTGGCTATTCTGACTATTTCGCCTGGTGATGGCTTGCATTTCAGTCAACCCATTGTTTGACGCAGAGAGCAACTGGAGCGAACGGGAGTTCCAGCTGGCTGCGTGGGCATTTAGAAAATGGAAGTATCATCAGTTCACTTCGCTGCGCGATGATTTGTGGGGCAATGCGATATTTCTCAAAGAGGCTAATGCCATTTCTGTTGAACTCAAGAAAAGGGTAAAGATTTTTTGTACAGCGATGGGCACTACTGAGTACATTGGCACTTAAATTCTTGACTGAAGTACCAAGTGTGCGACTGATGGAAACATCCTAGTCAAAGGGGAGACTGTTGTTTAGAACAAGTGGAAGATTGCTTTTGTCACAGCAATTAATTGCAGTTCATAAATTGGCAATTTGCTTCCGAATGGAATTTGTACGACGATGTATTTTAAATTGAATTCAATGATTCATTGAATTCAGCATTGCCCCAACGTTAAAATTTTCGCTTCCGAATGGAAGTATTGTAATCGTTGAAATTCAAGTTTTCGATTTTTTGTGTTATGTCGGCCCAGTATGATCCAAAAAGTCCGAAAAAGCAATTTTTAGATCTCATGCGTAAGTGTGGGTGTATGCGCGTACGTATATAACAAAGTTTTTCTTCAATTGTTCGGTAATGAATGGATGGAAGTGAATCTTTTTATTAAAATGTAGGTATTGTTGAGATGAATTAAATTTTAATTCATCTATTAGTTTTTTTAATTTTCGATTTTTTTCGAAAATTGGTTGTCCCACGATAAATAAAAAAAATGATCTGAACTGATTGAATGATGGCTTAAAAAATTTGTTTGGATGTCCTTTTGACCAGGTTCGAAGATGAACGCGATAGCAATAATCGTTATTTTGATTATTTAAAAATTTGCAAAAAATTTGTATTTTTTGAAAATCAGAAGTCCGGCGATATCTTGGAATATCATGCTTCAAATGAATTCAATTCTAGCTTGAAAAGTTTGTTTTAATGCCATTAAGTCGAAGTTGAAAGATAATTACGATAGCCATATTAGTTGATTTGATTTTTATGATGATTGTTTAAAAATTTCGAATTTTTCATGAATTTCCCGAAAGTGAGCTTTCTGACGGTTTCTTCAAATGTGATGTTTCAAATTCATTCAAGTATGTATAAATAAAATGGTTCTATCAACATTTTATCGAAGGGCTGATTGTGAGAGGAGAGACAGAACCGTAGAAAAGACAATCGGTTGTATAGAAGAAGGGGATAATAAGAACAATGATGATGATGATGATAACATTCAACTAAGTTGAAAATCTGACATTAGTTGACAATAAATCTTATTCAATTTAATAAAATGAAGTAAACATTGAATTATACATGATAGAAGGAAATGATGTGCAAAATAACCATTCGGAAGCATATTGCTAATTTATTAGCAAAAATAATTATACTATATGCTATACAAGTACAATTTTCCATTTGTTTACCTGTTTTTTTGAATTCATTATTAATTATTTTTAAGATATTTTCAATTTATTGTAAAAAAATCAAATGAATTCGATTTTTTTATACAACTTATTCCGTTGAGATATTTTCTATACAATTTCCTTGGCCCAAATTTTCCAAGTTTATTTGTTTGATTTGGAAAAAAGAATGAAAAAAAAAAATAGAAAATTTGAGCCGAAGAAATTCTATAGAAAGTAGCTGAAACGAATAAGTTATACAGAAAAATCGAATGCTATTGACTTTTTCTATTGAATATTTGATATTCAACATTTCAATAGAATCGGCCAAAAACTAATACAAAGGTCACAAAAAATCCCATACAATTGTCCAATGAATTCGCTAGATTTTTCATTAAAATTGTTTCGTGTGTGTATTCATACTAAGTACTTGTGCACTCAAGTATTTAATATCCAGTAAATCTCAACCCGTCCATCGCCCTTTTCTCGTGATAGAAAAATTGCAGCGCAAAATGTTGGTAATATTTTGATGACCCTCAGGTTCAATTTCAATTTACCCTGCTTACGGACACACTCTACTCGCCCCTACCCCCGGACCTCCTGCCGGCCATTGAGGACGACGAAGAGGAGGAGAGGCCCTTCCCCCGTACAATCGTCGCTGTCGAGGTGCAAGACACCAAGAATGGCGCCACTCACTACTGGACACTTGACAAACTACGGTAAGTAGTCCCAAACATAATGAAGATCATAGGATCAGTAGTTGTCATTCCACGCCATCTCAAAGGCAAAAGAGGTTCAGGAAAATCCAGGGGAAGATACATTTCCGAAGTGGGCGTTTACCCTTAAAAGACTTCAGGTTGTTGTTTCGTGATGATGCACCCACAGTCCCTCGAATAACAAAAAAAAACTGATGAATAATTTCGGCGAAACAGCAATTTCAGTCAATTAGTGCAAAGCACGTAAATCTCAGGCTTTTTTAGGCGAATCAGATAGCAATTTTGAATCGCCACTAAATCGTGTTTTTCTTTTTTTAACTGTCAAATTGTAGACAGCGCTTGGAGCTGATGCGTCACATATACAATGAAGACTTGAGTCCCAGCACTCCGGAGGCCAAAGAGGATATATTCCAATGTCTCACGGCCTACTCTAATCAGAGGTTCTCGCTCGCAAATCTTTTGCCTTCGAGGTTGGTGCTCGGTCGCACGAAAAAAGCAAAGATATATATTCAAATGAGAATCATCTCGTGTCCCTCTATATCTGCTCCATTTCTGCCTCACCAACACTATTCACCGACACAAAGGACTTTCTTTTTGTCTCTCGGTATTGAGCGCACGTTGGCATTAAAAAAAAAACGCTTCGAGCATTTAGCAGAAACTGCGACACTTCTTATTTCACAGTCTCTTTCACCCTGACTCCTCTCGATGACTTTTTACGCGGCACGGAGCTTGAGCTTTTTCAGCTTTGCCTTTTGATGTAAGGATCCATGAAGGATGGAGGGAAGAAGGTCGAACTGTGTATGAAGGATATAGTGATTTGATATGAATGATATTAGCGATTTGCTTGGATCAAGTGGAAATAAGAGTAGATGTATTTTACTATTTTTAATTGAACATTTGAAAGAAGTTTCGCGCTTTCGTGAACGAAGAACACCTCCGCGCCATTATTATCAAACAATTTTCATTTCATTGAAGAATGATGATAGAAAGCGGAATGAAACAAGAGCATAACAAGAGTATCGACGGATAAATTGGAATTGAATGCAGAATCAACAAATACACTAATACATGCAGTAACTATTTTTCATAGGGTAAAGACTCATTAAAAACAATTTAACAATTTAAAGAATGAACATTCGTCCGTATATTGTAGATTTTTGTAAGTACAAAGATGTGAAATCAAGCAAACAATTTAGTGATCAATGATATGATTATGTGTCTCAATCGGTTGAGGGCGCTCGCCCACGGCCCAGGGCGTACTGTCCACGGTCCCGTTCCTTATGGAGACCTCAAATCCAGGTTCGTCATTTGTGTAGACTACATCGAGATCTGCGTTGCCAACGGATCGATTGCTGAGAGGATGTTACGTTAAAGTACGCCAGCATCTCTCCGAACAAAGCCATCTCAGTTCCGAGTTATGATCATTCGGTTCCAGTATTTTAAAGTAGCTCTACCCTTCGGCCGGGCTACGCTGTACTTTTGGATATTTTCAGTTTTTCAATTTTTCAACTAAATTGCATGGAAAAAATTTGAAAAAATTCGTACCCAGTCAGTATTATCTAAATTCAATTTCGCAAAATATTAATATTTTCCCAAACATTTCCCTCTTATAAATAAATAATAAAACTTGTTTGCAAAACGGTGGATTATTTTTTATGAGGTGTCAAAAAATTCTTGATTTTTTTACATCTACTGAAAAAAAATCCAGATTTTAATCTTTGATTACAATGGAAATGTTGATTTTCCCATAAAACACTGGGTTAAATCCTGATTTTTAAACATTTATTCTTTGAAAAACCAAAACGATAATTAAATTGAGAAAAAAATTAGAATTCCGAATCTAATCGAGTTTTCTGCAATTTTTTTGCAGTTTTCAATGATCTTTGAATTTACCGTAAGGGTAGAGCTACTTTAAGATCATAGGCAACCCAAGAGCCACCTGCAGGAGGCTTCGTCACCTAGCGTGCCGATTCATTTGCCCTTCCCATTTTCAATGAACGCCCCCATAGCAGTTCGACCTCCTTCCCTCTATTCTTCATGTAAGGAACAATGATTCTGAACAGAGGCGGATCAAGGAGGCCCAAGACCCCTGGTGGAAGCGATCCTGAGGCCCCTAACTTTGAAAATAGGCGGCAGAAAGAACTGAAAATGTAGAACATTAAGCTTTACTTGATGTTCTACCAATTCTTACGTCAATAGATTTTTTGAAGAAAATGGAGAGAATATGGCTTTTGAAAAATTGGTAGGGGAAGTTGATGATTAAATTTAGTGAACGTAAACGCTTTCATTTTCGAAACAATGAACGGCCCCATTTTTTTAAAGCAATTGATAAGCGTCAATAGTATTAAAAAAAATGCTGCCCATCTCTTGTCCAATGGAAAAACTAAATAAATTTTTTCCTGTGAAGTGTTAATATCAGTAAAATTCAAATAAGAAAAATTCACTTCTGTGAGTATCAAATACAGTAGACTCTCGTTAACTGTCACTCGTCGGGACCTATATCGGTCGCAGTTCCGCGAAAGCGACACTTAAAAACGGCTCCCACTCCGCGCACCGATTCCCCGAAATTTAAAGGGACTAGTTTACGTTCCGCGAAAAACGCTCGAAACCGAGAAATTCTCGGAATAGCGACAGTTAACGGGAGGACAGTTATCGAGAGTCTACTGTACTCACAATACGAAATAACCGTTGATTTCGTAATTAGAAACGAGAGGAGGTGCACTGAGAAAGTCTCTTCGCGTACTAATCCAGGGATATACGCCTCTTGCGCAGCTCGTTGGTGGCATACAATCAAGATTTGAGCATGTGTAACCATAGACCCGATCAATTAGCCCCTCATGTATAGATATTCCAAATTTTTATTTTTTTCCTCATTGAAGTAGTTTTGAAAAAAATTGCGAGCTAATAAAAAACATTTGCTAGTTAGTACTTTTTTTAAAATAAATTTTTGAAAAATCACCTCTGAAAAAAAAGGCGTTATCCCCTCTATTTCATTATTTCCAAAAAATTTTATCACCAATCGATAGCAAATTGTTTGAAGATTTTGTGAGTTAAGAAAAAATCGTCAATGCAATCCCATTATTGTGGAAATTAACAATTCCAATTTCAACTGAAAACCAGAGTTGATGACCAGAGTTTGTAACAGAAATGTCAGACAAGATATGAATGTTTTTTTTGGCTCAAATGAAAGGGTGGCTCGAAAAATGGCGTGCAGAAGTCTTTAAAGATGACAAATGTCTCTAAAGATGATATCTGTTTTCAATTGAAAAGCAGAGTTGTGACATCATTGTCTAGGAGGACAATGGGGTCTAGGAGTATGTATAGAACGTTGGCGTCTAGGAGTCTCCCCTGGTTCAAAACCATCTTTAGAGGCCCTAGCACGCCATTTCTCGACCCGCTCTTTCATTTGAGCCCAAAAAAACATTCATATCTTGTCTGTCATCGCTGCTACATACTCGGGCCTACAACTCGGGCTTTCAATTGAAGGCCCGAGTTGAAGTTCCGAGTTTGTAGCAAAGATGTCGGACAAGATATGAATGTTTTTTTGGGCTCAAACGAAAGAGCGGGTCGAGAAATGGCGTGCTAGGACCTCTAAAGATGGTTTTGAACCAGGGGAGACTCCTAGACCCCACTGGACAATGTTGTCACAATTGCGCTTTTCAATTGAAAACAGATATCATCTTTAGAGACATTTGTCATGTTTGGAGGCTCTAGCACATCATTTCTCGACCCGCTCTTTCATTTGAGCCCAAAAAAACATTCATATCTTGTCTGACATCTTTCTTTCTGACAACTCGGGTCTTCAACTCGGGCTTTCAATTGAAGGCCCGAGTTGAAGACCCGAGTTGTCAGAAAGAAAGATGTCAGACAATTCTGGTCATCAACTCTGGTTTTCAGTTGAAATTGGAATTGTTAATTTACACAATAATAGGA